CATTGACTGCAAATTTGAAAGTGAGGAGCTGACAGCATTCAGCAACCAAGGTACACTTGACCTAGCCATCTTATACTGGTTTTATACTATGTTCTCAAGGCAAACCTGCCAAAGGAGGGATCTTCTATTGTAAAACGGCCAGTTTCCCTTGCTCTGAATTGCAAAAGCCCTTAGGAGTCAAATCTTCCACCGCCTCCACATACAGGAGTGCCAACTGCATAAGAAAAAGTGTGGACGGTAAAGATGTTCTGTGCATGCAAGAACATCTTCAAGATATTAATGCATCTGTGAGCAGTTACTTTAGAATTTGTTTGGTGGATCACTCCTAGTCAAATAACAGTAGCAGCATGTTGCAAAAAGCTGGGAACACTTTTGAGTGTAGCTCACAGCAACCTACCCTAATCCACCTTTAAATTGCGGATCCTATGGCACAGGCTCAATAACATCTCCTGAGATTTGGTGGTGCATTTTGAGCCTCCAGACACATTATAAAATGGCAATATGGGCTGTTTTGGGTTGTACTGGTGAAAATGGTGTGAGAATTTTGCATCTTTAAAGAAACAAAGAAGAGCGATAGCATGATAAGGTGCTATAACAAGGATTATGATTATTATAAACAAAGTAAAGCTTGAGAAAGTCGAAAAAAATACAATACGATGAAGACAGCAGGAAAAGACTAACTGCTGGCTTGCAAAATAGCAGAATGATGCCAGCCTTTTGGCTCGGCCCACCAAATACATTGTTGTTCATTAAGTTTTTCTTCATTTATGGCCGCGCCGTGGGTATCGGCAGGCACTTCTTGATGCCCCAAAAGTGACCTCTTGAAGTGGCCTGCCGGACACCTGCACCAGTACAGGCAAGTCCATGCTAAACCAATACCTTGTTTCCAGGAATTACCGAGCTGAGATTCCCACAGAGGGCCATAATTGAAGAAAAATTAAATAAATAAACATTTATTTTGTTGGCCGACTAAAAAGGCTCCTCACCACTGATATAAATAATCCTTGAATTTGATATAGCACCTTATCGCGTCATTGAAACGTCCTGACTGTATTTTGTGGGTGAAACCTGTCAGGCAGTTTATGCTCAGCAATGTCCCACAAACAGCCATGAAGTGAAACTCTGCAACATGAGAGACAACAAAAGGAACTGTGCCAACAATAAGAAGCAAAATGAACTAAGGGAGGCTTCTGTATAGCAGGGGGGAGGTCAGCTGCTGGCCCAGCGTGCACATTTCTAGTCAAACAAATGAAGCAGAATAATACACATATTAAATGCTGTCAGTAACTTTATAGTAAGATTTATAGCAGTTATGAGGAAAAAGGGGTATACAGACATCATTAATAAATTTATAGACATCATTAATAATTTTATATGTTACTGCTATTGGCCCAGCTCCCATGGATCAAAGAAACCTAAAATATGGTGCAGAAACATCCTTGCTTTTTCCTTTTGAAAAAATCTAAATTATATTCATAAAACTTGGGGCTATAAAGATGATCTGAATTGAGAACCCATCCGAAACAAGAATGCAATGATATACTCTCAGCCAGGTTTATAAAAAAAGGGTTGACTGGCTCATTTAACAAAATTAACAAAATATATTTACAATTAGTTTTAACTCATTCATTATAAAGGAGGCACCATTTAGAATCACTTCCACTGCAATCTCCGGTCTCAGGAACACACCATAAAGTGTTACTATCGCAGCTGTGGTTCACTCAATACCAAGTGATGCAGCAGTTAGCATTCTGTAATAAATGAGGTTACAAATTGGGCAGAAGGCAGAGACTGTAGTCGAGCAACTAATCAGAAAATTAATAGTGGGATTGGATTGTATTGGCATTTGTGCAGATACATCTGTTAAGCAAATAACCTGCTTGCCAGAAATGTGTACTCATTTTGTCCAAACAGGAGGTGTCCTCCTCCTTTATTTATCAGGAATCCACAGGCAATTATTTGAAGGCGTGCTGTTTAGAAGTATTCAAGGTATGCTTTCAACTTCAATCAAAGAGCTTATGAAATATAAAATATCACACAGATAATTATATCTTCTTTTGTTTTTGTAGACAGCAAAAAATCAAGTGTTGAATGTAGCCACAAGAGACACAATGCAGAACAAAGGTGATGTCTAGACAGTGAATGGGTTAAAATGAAAAACTTGGAATAATGCAGACTGGTAGAATTCAGGGCCACATGCCTGACTGCCCATACAGTGAAATCTGGGCCTGCTCAACTTGGGCTGAATAGAGCTCTGGTGTTTCTCCACAAGTCGGGAAGGAGGTCACTGGGCTCTCGTTTCCTTTGCATTTGTTTTCCATTTTTTCCCCTTCCCTCCTGATGTCATTTTGACTTGTTTTATTTCTATTGGTGGATGGATTCACAAGTGCTGGCTATTCTTCAGTAGCTTGTTCAATTGCCCAGCAATCATTCACATGAACCTCGACAGCAAGTGTCAGTTATATATTTGACTGAAGGGAGAGTCACCGCTAAACCCAGTACTGTCCTCAGACAAAATCCATACATGCACGCCTTCCATAAGAACAACAGCAATCAGGAGTGGGGACCTTAGCTAAATTTTACCTCCCTAAACCACAGCAATGGAGGTCAATTGTAGTGCTCCAACTGCATCCCCTACTTAATGCAGCGCAGGTTGGGAATTTTAACAAATAATAATAATAATTCTTGAATTTGATAAAGGGCCTTCACAGGATTGATTGATTGATTGATTTGTTTGTTTGTTTGTAGTGATTATATTTGTAGGCGAACCAGCAGCCAATTTTGGACAGCAATGTCCTACAAACAGCCATATAGTGAATCAGGCATTTTATCTGGGCGATGGTTGGCCAGGACATCGAAAGAAACTCCTTATCTTTTCAAATAGTGCCATGAGATCTTTAACCCCACCTGAACAGGTAGACGGGGGCCTTTGTTTAACATCTCATCTGAAGGACAGCAATGACAATACAGCATACCTCTAGCGCTGGACTGGAGTCTCATTTTAAACTATATGAGTTCCAAATCCCAACATGCGGCTTGAACCCACAATCTTCTAACTCAGAGGAATGAGCGCCATCAACCGAGGCAGACAATCACACAGTTAAAAGACTGAATGAAGATGGACCTTTGAAACTCTTCCAAAACAATTTAGGTGCAAAGGCTATGGTGGGATCAAATGGTGTTGTCATATTTCACAGTACTAAGCAAATATATCAATATGGTTAATGACTTAGATGTTTCCAGGCCATTACTATAATTACGCAGCTTCCTCACCTCCCCTGTGAGATGATACATGCACTTTAACTGGATTGTACAGCAAATGCATTCACTGATCAGAATTAATTTCAAAGGCTGTTGCTGAAAATGGTTTTAGGGTTTTCCTGTGTGCATTCTGTTAACTGCACTGTTCTCTTATCAGGTACTTACTTAAGTGAAATGTAAGTGGAATACTGGTACATGAATCACGTTCTGAGGAAAAAAGCTCATACTTCACTAGAGGTAAAGAGGTGACTGCTGTGTTTTAAGGTCACGCTCTTAATTCCATTAAGCCAATCCTCCAAACAACCCAGCGATAAGTGCAGTTACAGAAGCTAATACCTTGGAGCATGGCCAGGTAGGCAGCTGCTAAGACCGACTGCATGAAGCAGATCGTACTGTATGAACACACACTTTGTTGTAAGAGATTGTGTACAACATTTTGTCTTTTGTAATACTGCAAAAAAAATCCTACTCTTCCTATAAGAAAACTTTCATTTAGTAAAGCAAAAGAAAAAATAAACCATATCATACTTTGGTCTAGATCCAGTGGAATATGGTCAAGCAGTAAATAGTAGGATACGTGAATATTATTTTTTTTCATTTAAACACATGGTGAGTTGTGGAGCCAATTGTTATGGAGATCAATATTTGCAGCAATGTCTACAATACAAACTTGTACTACGGTGTTGCAATATTTATATATCCATCTCCAGGCCTGCAATTTCACCATTTTCCCATTTCGGACATATGAGTCAATGTTGACCTGGAAAGGAGCCTTCTAAATAATCTGTTGTCAGCTCTGAAAAAATATGCTAACAAACAAACCAGAAAATGAACTGTGCAATCCAAAATATTTACTGACACTTTGAGTTGCTCGAAAATAACCATTTAGTCTTTTTCTATCCAAATGATTTAAATTGTCTGAACGTAGTACACTATTCTTTACAAAATTGCTTGGCGTGAGAATTACAGGAAAATATAACTTCCTTCTATCAATGGAACATTTATCAGTCTGACAAATTATAATGTTGGGCACTGAAACTGTGCAAGCTGCTGATATTGGGATAAAACCAATAATTGGGATAATAACTAGATTGAATAGGTTGTGAAGCTGGTCCCTGTGCTCAGAAGCACAGCAACAATTACTTGCATTTATATTGCTCCCTTCATAAAGGAACATGTCTAGGAGCCGGGCAAGGAAAGAGAGGGACAGTGAGGTGACCATAGGTACGATCAAAGAGAGGTTTTTAAGGGATTTAAAAACAGAGAGATGGCTAGATGAATGGGTAGAGGCAAGGAGTTTCATAGGGAGTAACTGCTGAAGGCCTAGCCAACAATAGCAGTGTGTAGGGGGATACGTAGCAGGCCCAGGTTAGCTCAGCAGAGGAGGTGAGCAGAAGGAGACGACCACAGAGACAGGAATTGCGAGGACATGAAGGGATTTATAGGTGCTAGCAAGACATCTCTACAATGCAATATAGTGTTTATGCTGATAAAATCACAATTACCAAGAAGAAAATTAAATTAATGACAAAGAATCATATAGCTGTTGCTAGGGTAAGTGTTTCAGCATCAGGAAAATTTTACCCAGCAAATCTAGCTGAGTGTTTAGCAATGTCATCTTCAGGTGCTCTAGAAACAGCTAGAGGACTGTAAATTGTCCATTTTTTTGTTTATCTTTGCAATGCAAACATTTCATTGGAAGTTTTATATACTTATTTTCTGTAACAAAAGTCAATTATTTAATCGATGATGGATACTTGATTTATCCGTCTTGCATAAACTGTTACCTGAGTCTTAATCCTACTTTGTACTGGAAAGCTAAATTTGACACCTATGAAAATAATGGAAAAAAAACTACAGCAGAAACATTGTACACACATTTAAGAACTTGTTTTGTGTGAATCTGAATACATAAAAATCAATAAGGGTTACTCGTGATGCTTCGCTGTCATTAACACTATTATAGTGGAAAATAATGAAAATGCTGGTACAGTTTTTAATTACAATTTCTATTAATAGAACCCTTAAAAAATTGGAAACTGCACAATAAGTGTTTAATTGAGGAGAACCTAAGTGGGTTCATTATTTATAATAGTACCTAAATAATATCAAAGATTGTGTTATGGCTGAGAACTTTATGAAGAGAATTGACTTAATACAATTAATGCAGGTAACTGCATCATGGTTATATGATTCCATCTTTAAAAGGAAATATTTCCCATACACTGTTGATTTACAGATTTGGATGAAATTGGAAGAATTTCTATTTTTATAATATCTTATCACTTTGAAACATCTGAAAAGCTTAACAAAATTGTTGTCAAATGACTGTTTTATACACATTTGGTATTTTTTTATTAAGCCTAAGTTTGCTGTGAACTAAAACCTACCATTTCTGAGGATATGCTTACAAAACCTCTCACACACTCCTGAAAAGAACAAAATAAAGGTCTATTGTCTGACCTCTTGTCTCCCTCTTTGAACCATTCTTGTCTTTCTCTATTTTAGAGATATAGAAAAATCCCGTTATAACACCCCTCCCCTGCCCTCTCATAACCCTAGCCCTAACCCTGTGGACCCACACTAACCAGAAACACAGAATGCGCAGCTTCTGGCATTGACAAACCAGCTTCCTGCAGAGAAGGATGTCAAAATGATCAAACTCTTCAACTTTCCTTGTTCTTCCTTCCTCCTCTTTCAATTTACAGTTTTTTACAACCCAAGTTTAACCTCATCCAGCTTCATGATCTAGCTTTCCTCTTTCTTATTCCGATTAACATTTCTTTCAGGCCAATCCTTGGCTCTTCATCTAAGTTTCTCAGTTTCAATGTAAATGTTGAAATCATTTTGACAAAAAAAATGCTTACAAATGTTCTGTAACAGACAGTTTTTAAATGAATGCAATACACCGATGATCCACATTCAGAATTTGTTTCCTTTATTCTGTTGGGCAAAGGGTTAGTGACTTTCATAAAAACTGTTAACCATTGCAGGTAGTCAAAAAATGCAGCTTATTGAGCATTAACCAGACCGTTGCCAATTTATTTCTCAGGATTGTCTGTCACTGATGGAAGTGAGCATGCCTCAGTCAGTTAATGAAGCAATTCAAGTGTTCACCTGTACCAAACTCCGCTCCCCGATCACCCCAGTCCTTGCCAGACTGCACTGGCTGCCTGTCCCAGAAAGGATCGACTTCAAGATCCTCACCCTTGTCTTCAAATCCCTCCACTCCTCTGCACCCCCTACCTCTCTGGCCTCCTCTCTCCTCAAATCAGTGCCCGTTGCCTTCGTTCCTCGGGTCTGGCCTCCTCCTCATCCCCCGAGTCCTCCACTCCACCCTCGGCAGCCGTGCCTTCAGCCACTATGCCCCAAGGCTCTGGAACTTCTTTCCTCACTCACTTCGCCTCGCCCACTCTCTTCCTATTTTCAGGTCTCGGCTGAAGACCTTTCTTTTCGACCGTGTCTTTGGTCACCTTCCTCCCCCTGGCTCAGCCCCAGGATCCGTAACTGTGAAGCACTCTGAGATGCCGTCCGGCGTGGAGGGCACTGTATAAATCCAAGTTGTTGTTGTTCAACGTGTGGACACATTAAACGTAACATTAAGCTTGCCAGCTAAAATTACTTGTCTTGGCAGACAATCATGGGACAGTATCAACAGCAGTAAGGGAGAAGTTTGCGTTCAAGACTTGTCCAAACCTCTGAGCTAAAAGACTGCTGACCATGTGTTAACATTAAGGGAAACTTCTGCAAAAAATGGAAATACGTTTAACGTATGCTATATTTTAAAGTATTCTTATTTTCAACCTTACCCGGATTGGATTTCTTCTTTGTTGCTTGTATACTTTTGCTGTGCTTTTCTGCCGTTTCATGCTCTGGTGATTTAGCTTCTAGGTCAGACTCTGGGATAGTTTCATAGCCTGAATCAAAAATGAAGAATCAGTTACTGGAAGTACATACAAATATCATCAATAACATTAACTTGCTTTATATAGTGCCCTTCATGCAGGGTAGTATCTTGGAGCACTGAACAAAGGCAGATTTTGACACAGACCCGAAGGAGAAAAGGGGCACAGTCAAAGAGCAAAGTTTTCAGATGCGGCTTGAAAGTAGGTAAATAGGAGAGGGATTGAGGCAGGGAGTTCCATAGGTTCGGGGTGTAGTGGCTGAAGGCATGACTGGTGATGGTGGAGTGGATAGTCCGGGAGACACACAGGAGGACGAGCCGTTCAAGCGAAGGGGTTGGGTAGAGGAGTGGAGAAATAAAAGACCCATATGACACTTGATAGCTGTTTGAGGGGACACTGCTAGATGCAAAGTTGATGCGATATTTGCCTACAAAATACATGAAAAGGGCAATATATCAAATGCAAGATGTTCAGCAATTGCAAACAGCATGAAACTGCAATACGCAAAGCAAAAAGAATGCTGGGCTAAATTTCCAAGTCAGCTGCATTCAAATTCCCAGAAGTTATTTTCAAGTCATATGGTTCTCTGGTCAGGCTACATCTGAAGTATTACGTACAACTCTGGCATATGTCTCATTATTGTTATTATTATTATCCCTTTAATACTCATTGATTTCCTCTGCACCCTCGAGTCTGGACAGTTTAGCTAGAATTGTACCAAAAAGAACCAGAGAATTTAATTACAACCTCAGTCCAGCAGGATGTATGTCAAGGTTGCACTATTTCAAACTGAGAGAAAAGTATCCAGAGTGCACCCAGAGATCCTGATTTGTGACAACAGGCTATATTGATGGTGGAAGTTGTGCACATTGGGCTTTGATAGTTCCAAACTACAACTTAAACAGACTACCAAAAAGGGATGCTGTCTAGAATAGGCCTTCACTCTATCTATAAATAACCCTCGAATCTGGACCAAGTCCAGAGCAACATGCATTTCCAGATGCAAACTAATAAACAGTGTTAAAGAAGTGACGCTTTGGCAAATACTATTTGACAAACAATGCATGCAATGCGTGTCACTGCAATGTGACCTTTGCAATTGAATCCATGTTATATGACACTTTTGGAAGCTGATCTCGCATAAGATATCAGCTCAGGAGATAATCAGTGGATTCAGGTGGAGATAAAAATTAACTGCCAAAAATTTTAAGAAGGAAACACTTAAATATTTTTCCTGAATGAAATAAAGGAAGTACGATATTTACTGTTTATTTCTGTTTTGTGAATGTACTTAGGACTGAATCAAGTGAACTTTGAATGACATATCCAGGAAAATACAGCAATGTAATAAAATATACAGAATTGCATTTACTATTAGTCATTTATTTTTTCAGTTTTATGACCCGGATTTTGAAGACTTGCACTAAATAAACTGTAAACAGCAACAAAAAAAAATTGGATGTCTTAGCATTTCAAAGTATTACATTTTTGTGAATAAAATTTATCATTCCAAAGTAATCTTTATAGAACTTAGTACAGTATTCTCTGCAAACTCTCTGACTCCTCTCCTCATAACTTGCATCAGTGACATAAAATTACCCTTTTTCTGACATAATATTGAGCCAAGAGCAACAACTTAGCAACCAGGGCTTTTCACTCATGAAAAGAGCTATCTTAGAGGAAACCATATAGATGTACATAAGATGGAAAACTGAATTAAGAAAGTAACCCAGAACAATACTTTTACTTATGAGAAGGTAACTGGACAAAAAGGAACAGGTTCAGTGTTGTGAAGTGTAATTTCAGGACTGAAACAGCTGGAACAGGTTCCCAGCAAGGTTGGTTGGGGCCAGCAAACTGGGCTCATTAAATAAACAGCTTGATGCTTTAATGGGAAGACAGTAGTGTGTGTACTCTGGAATCATAAGATAAAACGGGCTGAATGGCCTTTCTTATCCGTACTTCTCTTGTATTCTTGTGAACTATGACTGTGACTATGGAGCAGAATAACTGAAATACTGCAATGTAAATTATGATCAGGAATAATACCAAACTATGTTTAGCAGTTAGTAACACAGAGGCTTATGTTACATCTGGCCAACGGCAAGTGATAAGCCCTACAGGGGACATAATGGATACCCAGAAATGATTACTTGGCAGTAATCACATGGATAGTTTCAGATGACATCATAAAAAACAGTTTATGAGTTTCGTCTGAGCTTGGGATGAGACTGCAGTGTGGTAATCACTCCCACGTGTGAAATGTTTTTCATAACATATACTCCTAGAGATTGAGGAGGCTGTGTGATTCTGCTTCTACTTGTCCATGGCAATCACTAACAGCCAGAGCATTCAAGTAAAATTATATGATAGATAAAGTTCCACTCACAACTTTCATGCCTATTTTGAAGTCATTCACAAAGTAGATGTACTGGCATACTGCCTCTGGAAAGTAGCCAGTGTACGGAATTTGACAAAAATCAGTTTGATTTACTATGAGGTGTAAAAGTATTTATTTACAAAATGAAAGTTATTCACTTCTGCTCACAATTCTAGTAAACTACAATGCAGTCTTATTATAGCTCACTTTTTATAGGGTGGATTCAGTTATAACGTGTGGTAGAATCAGTGTTGTCCCATTCGCTGTGTTAAGTGTGTAGCCAGCGCATTCGCTTCCTTGGCACTGGATAGCTCTTGCGCTAAAGTATCTGACTTTCAGGTAATTAGATGACGCTATGACTTCTTGCTTTGCACATGTCCAACCATAGAAAGTGACGTCAGTGCCAACCTGTGACCTGAAGGTTAATCTGTTTTTTAGCACAAACAGGCTGCGAGCAAGGCAGCCTGTTGTGCAATGTGTATGTGCAGTGAAACCTGCTATTGCAGCCTCATTACAGTTGGGTCGGAAATTTATAGATCCAACCACTGCATATAACAAGGGTCCCCCGTAGTTAAATGAGTTTCTCCACCATTACAAATTCACTATGTGAGTAACCATAACAAAAAAGTAGTTATACTCATTCTGGTGTTGCCATTTCAAACAAATCTGATCGCTCCAGCTACAGTTTCATTCTTTACAAAAAAAATTGTGTAGCAACAACAGGATCACCAAAACTACAATGTATAGACATCTGGCAGCATTAAGTAGTACAGGATTAAATCTTGTTAAATACTACATTGATTCATATACGGAACTCTGTCTGGTTTGGATACTCCTAGACACACTGATGGGTTCCCTTGTGTGTCAGACACCTGGCTGATATTTTAAAAAAATCCTTGAAGAGTAGGGTGAAAAGCAAGGTATTCATTAGGTCATGCTACTTAAAATTAACCAGCAATCATCTTCTGTAAGTGAAGTAAGTCACTAAGAGAAACAGCAGACGTTCGCTCACCGATAAGCTAAAGTTCAGGCCTCCATAAGAAAAATGCAAATGTTTCCAGCTTTTAAGCCCATGGGTATGAAACAAAAATATAGACAGCGGTTTTCTGGCTATATGATGTGGAATTCCCAGTTGGTTTCACATGTTACAAACAGTTTTGGCTATTACTGTAATCCAATAACAACAGTTTTACCCCAGAGTCCCTACCGTTCTCAACTTCAACTAGATAATTATTTGTCGAGGACAAGTTTGCAGGGCTATAAAGGAGAGAACGGGGAAGTGAGATTGATTTGGATAGCTCTTTTAAAATAGCTGGCATAGACACGATGGACCGAATGGCCTCCTTCTGTGCTGTATAATTCTATGATTCTATGATCTTATATTTTGGTTGAAAATTTAAACTTCAAAACTGGATAAGCTACTGCCTGAATTTTGGCCCTAATTATGTACCTAAAGAATATTAGGAAAGAAGCTAAGAAACAAATTTCACTTGATAGAAACCCTGAATAATCTGATATTAAATTTAGTCCAGTTAAAGACAATGGGGTTGAAAAAGCACTCAAACAGCAAAACCACTACATTAATAATGCCTCGAAGTGTCATTTAAATTTTCTTAGTGCACCATCACGACTCCCATGGCCTCAGCTGTGGCAATATTATACATTAAAACAAAGTATGTTTAGGGGACAGTCAGATGACAAAGGTTTGCAGGGTTTCTGTGGTCATCACAAGATTTCACAAATCAGTGTGATGTACATTGTATTCTGTGCACCCATAATGACTCAAGTGCTTTTTCAAGTTAACCAGCTAACCCCGCATAACTTGCCATTGAAAGCACTGTCTGGCAAGCTTCTGTTGTTTATCCAGCTAGAACCACGCTAGCGTTAAGGTTAACGTGATCTGAGTGGGAAGAATTCCGCTTAAACTCTGGGAATACAGGCCACTCACCCAATAACAACAGATTGTATTTACAACAAAAACTTACAACTTGCACTTATATAGTGCCTTCCACGAACAACAACAACAACAAGATTCCATTTATAGAGCGCCTTTCACGTCAGGAGGACGTCCCAAGGCGCTGCACAGTTGGGTCATGACCCGAGCAGGGGGGAAATGGTCAGGGTGAGGGGAGGGAAGGGAGGGAGAGAGGAGGGGGAAATGGTCAGGGTGAGGGGAGGGAAGGGAGGGAGCGAGGAGGAGGAAGAGAGTCGAGAGGGGAGCTGAAGGCACGGTCAAAGAGAAAGGTTTTGAGACCGGCCTTGAAGGAGGAAAGGGAGGAAGCGGCGAAGGCACTGGGGGATGGAGTTCCAGAGCCTCGGGGCTGAGAGGCTGAAGGCCCGACCACCGATAGTAGGGCGGTTGGGGCGGGGGACGTGGAGCAGACCGGAGCCAGAGGAACGGAGGGTACGGGCAGGTAGGTAGGGGGATAGTAGGTTGGAGAGGTAGGAGGGAGCGAGGCCGTGAATGGCCTTGTAGGTGAGGATGAGGATCTTGAAATCAATCCTCTGGGGGATGGGGAGCCAGTGGAGGCGAGCGAGGGTGGGAGTGATGTGGTCCCGAAGCCTGGTGCGGGACAGTACACGAGCTGCAGAGTTCTGAATGACCTGCAGCTTGTGGAGGGAGGTGGCGGGA